CAAGGCCCATCCCATGTTATCCTGACGCCAAATGACTTCGAACAGGGGATAAATGACATGCCATGCACTCTGCCCCCGGGCCAGACTCATGGAACTCTGTGTTCATCAAGAACTGCAAGAAGCCCCTATCACGAGCCTTTTCCATCCTATGGAGAGGGAGCATGGACACGGGGGTCGTCCCTCAGTTTTCTAAAAACAACAGACATAGCCCCACTCCACAAAGGGGGCAGTTTAAAACAACAGCAAAGAATACAGACCAATAGCACTAACTCCCATATCATAAAAATCTTTGAAAGGGTCCTAAGAAAACAAAATCACCACCCATCTAGAAACCATCAGTTACACAACACCAGGGCAACATGGGTTTAGAACAGGTCGCTCCCGTCTGTTCTAACTACTGGATCATACGACAAGGTCCTAAGTGCACTAGAAGACAAAAAGAATGCAGATGTAATATATACAGACTTTTTCAAAAGCCTTCGACAAGTGTGACCATGGCGTAATAGCGCACAAAATGCGCGCTAAAGGAATAACAGGAAAAGTTGGTCGATGGATCTATAATTTCCTCACTAACAGAACACAGAGAGTAGTCGTCAACAAGAGTAAAGTCCGAGGCAGCTACGTGAAAAGCTCTGTTTCCACAAGGCACAGTACTAGCTCCCATCTTGTTCCTCATCCTCATATCGACATAGACAAGGATGTCAGCCACAGCACCGTGTCTTCCTTTGCAGATGACACCCGAATCTGCATGAAGTGTCTTCCATTGCAGACACTGCAAGGCTCCAGGCGGACATCAAACCAAATCTTTCAGTGGGCTGCAGAAAACAATATGAAGTTCAACGATGAGAAATTTCAATTAACTCAGATATGGTAAACATGAGGAAATTAATCTTCATCAGAGTACAAAACAAATTCTGGCCACAAAATAGAGCGAAACACCAACGTCAAAGACCTGGGAGTGATTATGTCGGAGGATCTCACCTTCAGGACCATAACATTGTATCAATCGCATCTGCTAGAAAAAATGACAGGATGGATAATGAGAACCTTCAAAACTAGGGAGGCCAAGCCATGATGACACTCTTCAGGTCACTTGTTCTATCTAGGCTGGAATATTGCTGCACTCTAACAGCACCTTTCAAGGCAGGTGAAATTGCCGACTAGAAATGTACAGAGAACTTTCACGGCGCGCATAACGAGATAAACACCTCATTACTGGGAGCGTTGAGGTTTCTAAACCTGTATTCCCTGGAACGCAGGGGGGGAGAGATACATGATTATATACACCTGGAAAATCCTAGAGGGACTAGTACCGAACTTGCCCCACGAAAATCACTCACTACGAAAGCAAAAGACTTGGCAGACGATGCACCATCCCCCCCAAAGAAAAGGGGGTGTCACTAGCAGTTAAGAGACCCTACAATAAGTGTCAGGGGACCGAGGGCTGTTCCAACTGCCTCCCAGCACACATAAGGGGGATTACCAAAAGACCCCTGGCAGTCTTCAAGCTGGCACTGGACAAGCACCTAAAGGCAGTTCCTGATCAGGGCCCGGGGTGTGGCTCGTACGTTGGTTTGCGTGCAGCCAGCAGCAACAGCCTGGTTGATCAGGCGCTGATCCACCAGGAGGGCCCGGTCACAGACCGGGGCGCGGGGGCGTTGACCCCCGAAACTCTCTTTCCCGGTAAACTCCAGGTAAACAGCACCGTATCATCCTTTTGCGGATGATACTAGGATCTGCATGAGGCTGTCATCTACTGAGGACGCGGTTAACCTCCAAGAAGATATAAAAAAAGTTTCCAGTGGGCAACGGAAAACCCAATATGATGTTCAATGAGGACAAATTCCAATTACTCCGTTATGGAAAACGGAGGAGATAATAACTAGAACAGAGTATACTACAGACTCTGGCCATACAATAGAGCGGAAAAATAATGTAAGGGACCTGGGAGTATAATGTCTGAGGATCTCACTTTCAAGTATCACAACAGTGCCACGATCGCACGTGCAAAGAAAATGAAGGATGGATAATGAGAACGTTCAAAAACGAGAGATGCCAAGCCAATGATGATCCTTTTCAAATCACTTTGTTCTCTAGGCTGGAATACTGCTGTACATTAATATCTCCATTCAAAGCAGGGGAAATCACAGATCTAGAGAGTGTACAAGATCCTTTACTGCACGTATAAGTTCTGTCAAGCACCTTAAATACTGGGAATGCTTGGAAGCACTTGACTTGTACTCGTTGGAACGCAGGAGGGAAAAGATATATCATAATCTACACTTGGAAAAACTTGAAAGGGAAAGGTCCCAAATCTGCACACCAGAAATCACTCCCTACGAAAGTAAAAGACTGGGCAGGCGATGCAAAATGCCCCCAATAAAAAGTAGGGGCGCCATTGGTACACTAAGGGAAAACACCATAAGTGTCCGGGGGCCAAGACTGTTCAATAGCCTCTCATCAAGCATTAGGGGAATTACCAATAAACCCCTGGCTGCCTTCAAGAGAGAGCTGGACAGATACCTAAAGTCAGTGCCAGATCAGCCGGGCTGTGGCTCGTACGTTGGACTGCGTGCGGCCAGCAGTAACAGCCTAGTTGATGAGGCCCTGATCCATCGGGAGGCCTGGTCATTGACCGGGTCGCGCGGGCGTTGATCCCCGGAATAACCTCCAGGTAAACTCCAGGTAACCAGAGGGGATCAGGGAGGGTGGTGGGGAATCTGTTGGCACTGGATTGGAAGGGGGCATATGACACAGTTGAGAGGAACGCTTTAGGGAAAATTCTTCATCGGCAGGGTTTTGGGGAGGAAATAGTGGGGTTTACCTGAAGAGGGTTTCGGAGGTCAACGCCCCCGCAGCCCGGTCTGAGACCAGGCCTTATGGTGGATCAGGGTCTGATCAACCAGGCTGTTACTGCTGGCCGCACACAAGCTGATGTACGAACCATAGCCCGATTGGTCAGGTACTGATGGTAAAGAAATGTGGCGTCACTCTTCCAAAAACAGCAGGAGGCCATGCAATATATGGCAAGCTTCTTCACTCTAATAATTAATAAATAAATGGAACAGTAAATATTTGTTATTATAATCTAATAATTCTGTAATGTCTGATAAATTGATTAAGAACCTTGCTTGCTGAAGTTTCCAAATGCTTTGATCCACTAGGCTTAGTGTCACCCCTTCCAATAGGAGGGAAATTAATACAAGAAGCATGGAAGCTTAAATGTACATGGGATGAAGCCCTACCTAATGAAATTAAAAAGTGGGAAGATTGATAGGTCATTATGTTCAGATACCACTGTTGGAATTCTCACATAATGTAGTAAGTCAAGATGGTGGCATGTCTATGACTAAAGTGGCTCCAATTAAAGCGCTTACATTTCCTCAGTTGCAATTAACAGCCATTTACATAGGTGTCAAATTAGCTAATATGGTAAGAGATAAATTGCAGGAGATAAATATTAGCGACACTGTGATTTGGTCTGGTAATGAGGTGTCCTTACAGTGGATTCGTAATGGTAACAGTAAGATTGTGTACCTCCATAACAGTCACTGAAATTAATCAAATGCAAGAAAAACGTAAGAGTTTGGGTCAACATTTATTAACATTTAATCATATACCTGGTGACGAAAATCCAGCTGATTTCTTGTCACGAAGCTTGACTTATGATAAATATTTGAATACTGTATCATGGTTCAAAGGACCAAGTTGGTTGATAAATAAAATTGACCTTTACAAAAGGCACCTGCTGAAATTACTGTGACCACCGCTCCAATAATTTGTCCCTCGTTGGCCATTGAGATTAACAGATATTCTTCCTTACTCAAAGTAATTAATGTAACATTGCTAGTGCTTTAATTTATAAACAAAATGAATATTTCATATAATTTTTTACATCCTCTGAAATACTGGATTCAGAGGATGCAAGAAGAAATCTATGGAGATGAAATTAAATCATTGATAAAAGGAAAAATTGTAAAAGGTTCAATAATAAATAAATTAGGGCTGTATTTATTTGATGTAATTAAATGTATAGATAGGTAATATGCTGAACTGTGTAAATATGTAATGTATCCTATTATACCAAAGCTAATTCTCTGAAAATTTTAATTACTATAAATTTGTGTAAAAATTGTAAAGCAAGGTGGAGTACAAAGTAATTTCAATTAATTAAGTCGTTCATCAACGATCTCCACTTAGCTGCAATGTGATTTTTTTATATAATTTTCCTGAATTCAGCATATGTAAATATGAATAATATAATAATTGTGTATTACAATGTGATGCTGATTTGACCCTTCAAGAAATTTTTGGTGGCAGTGGCAGTGGAGTGATGCTAAGAGGGGGATGCTATAGTGGAAATAATGTGTGAGCACTGGTCTGTTAATAGTGAAATTTAATCCGATGTCATTGAGGCCATAACTGGGTGTTTCATGTCCCCTACTGAAAAACTGGGACAGGAAATTTGCAGGATCTCCAGAATTACATGTGGATGGTGAAATATAAGGAAATTACACCATCACTCACACAGGGAAATGTGCCATTGTCCTTTCATTTAGATTTCATGCTGGCCAGTGTAGGTTTCTATATGTTAGGTAGGCATTGTGGTGGTATCCATCTACAGTAATTAAATGGTAAGTGGTAATATGAATTTCTTTTCTAATAACACTATTGTATTATATGTATTGTACAATAATTATATTGTGTATCCAGCAAGCCTAATAACATAATTTTCCATTATTGGTATTAATGTTTAATATTGTAATTATTAATTTAATGTCAGGTCAAGCTTATCATGAGAGTGGTGATGGAGTGGGCATCGAAGAAGTGACAGTCCTGTGACCTACTATGACTAAGTCCCACTTACTTCACCCGCATTACTTGCACATAATAGTTCAGGTAATACCCTGTAAACCTCATACAGGTAATTTCTCACACAAAATATAAAAAATAGAGTGAGTGGTAGATATGAAGTACAAAGTAATGTAAATAAAAAATAATTGATTATATACTTTTCTATTAAAAAATTGTACACATTTAAAAGACTAGAAAGCCATTGCATAATACATTTTTATACAGATCTGTGGCACCAATGAAATTATTACTTAGCAGTAACTAGGATTTTAACTCGTTATATAAACCATAGAAAATGCTGGGTTTTAACAATGTTGGGGAGATAATAATCATCCAAGCACAATCCACGAAATCCTTCATTACATTAGTGACCCAGCTTGGGGAAAAAATGTTCCTTGTTTACTGGTTGTTACTCAGTAACTAATAAATAAAATGGCATTATCTTCACGCTGCATTTCTTTAAACTGACACCTACTTAACAAAAGACATCACATTTTAAACCATTTACAGATTTCAAACCTTTTTAGTGCTATCTTAGTTGCAAAGTTACATATCAACAAACATTCAAATGAATGCATGTATTGTTACACCTTTTTCTTTTAATTACAATATTATTATTATACCTGGTGGGAAGCATTAAACCCAAAAGGGTTATACAGCCCCTGAGAAATGGGAGTCAATCGGGTTTGATCTAAGAGGGAGAACAAGAGCCCCTTTACCAGCATCAAAGAACCTCCCTTGAGATGTACAGTATCCATAATTACATTTACATTTCCTTGATAAAATTTTGAAAAACTTCAAATCTGCCAAACATGAAGGTAGCCTGCTATATCAAAAATATATATTATTTACTTTAGCAATTCTCCTGTCAAGTTTCTTTATTATTTATATACCACCTGCTTTTAGTGTTATTATTATTAATAAAGATTTTATTGCCTGAGTAAAATAAACACTTGATTTTTAATAACTAATGTTAAAATACAAATCAGTTATAATTTTCCACGGGGTTTTCCTACAAAAAAGGTCCATAAACCTTTACAATCTCTCCGTGTCCCTTGCCAAGGGGTGCGAGAGGAGGAAGTTTAGCCCTCACACAGGTCTTGCTCACACTGATCTCTGGAGGTCGTCTCTGGCATGGGTTGATGTAGCATGATCGAGCATGATCCCACACTTTGCCCAACACGTCCGGGTCACCTTCCGATGGGCCAACCAAGAAATCACAGAAGTAATCAGCATTATTTGGCAGTTCAACGCAACAGTGGAGGTGATCGACGTGGAGTGTGTAGAAGCGATTCAACCCTTCACGTTTGACTCCAACCTTTTCAGCAAGTGTTCCAGTGACATGGACGTCGTCGATCCAGAAGTATGGCCATTTGATGGATTCAGCCACAATGGCTGAAGCAGCGTCCATGGTCATGGCATAAGCCCAGCCAGACATGAACGGGGCGTAATACTTCTCTGGATACTCTTTCTCACTCACATACCACTTGCTGGCTTTATTTCGAACAGGTTTGGCCTCGATTTGCATCAGTCCTAGAATAAGATTTTTTCTGTCCCAGAATCTGGTTCTCAGTTTGTCACGAAATTGGTATAAGTCAACGGCTATGTCATCGTCCATTTTAATTATAAATTTAGTGTGTGGACAGTAATGTGTAGCCCACTGTAGGCCCATAATGTGCTTGTAGTGAGGTTGTGATAGTGCTCCTTGAAATTTCCCTGGATTATATCATGATGCATTAAGTTTTCTTCATTGATGCTCCACTGGGAAGTCTTGTGGTAAAGCTCCTGATCTTCCCACTCGGCTCGAGCGAGAAGAAAGACCCTACGCATTCCTAGGTCCCTCAGGTCCTCCTCTGGGATGTGTTGGCGCATCAGGTCCCGTTCCATACGATTCGCTGGATGAGTGTGGATTATCACTATTATAAAAACATCCGCGCTGCAAACATCATTATTAATTATATAGGTAAATCCTGGAAGATCCAACAATGGTACACGGGAAGGATACAGAGGATGAACACTGACAGGAGATGGGGTGATGAGTTTGTGTGTAGCGGGGTCCTGCCACACCCCTATCATAAACACCACAGCCAGAGTAAGACACACAAGCAGCAGTCCACCAGGGTGGCACCCAGTCACTTGCTTCATCATAATGGCTACAGTCTGACATCTCGCATTCACTGACAAATTGCATAGCGATTTTTTCACAAATCTTGAAAGCGGCATTGCACTCCATTAGTTCATCCTAATTATATACGGTGTAGTTTGTGGAATGTAATGACAGCTATTTTGGTTCATTTTGAAGTTTCTTTATTTGTACAAATCATTTATAAGGTCATGTACAACAGCCAACACCATCATGAGTTAATTAATGATTTATCCATACTGAAATCACTGACTTTACATGATTAACTAGGTAAAAACAATTTCGTACCGGTAAGTTTTTCTTTTTCAAGCTTTCGCGACCTTGAGCAATGAGGACAGATCACTGTAGTGTAACTTCTTCAGCCTTTACTTAGTCACCTGTTGGTTAATATGCGGGATTCTCAGCATCTCCGTAAGCTGAGAGATTCAAGAATCAAACATTTCTTGCCCTTTTCAAGCATTAATTAGAAACACCAGAGCTATATAACTACTCAGAACAGGTGGTGATGTTCAACTGAATCTCACCTGCTGCACCGTCGCTTCAACATTATTATTCCCAACAAATTTATAGAAAACGGCAATTTAAAGGATTATAAGGGGTAGATAAAATAAAATATTTTACTTCCTCAAATCAGGATTTTTTTTTTAATATACCAGCCGTTTCCCACCAAGGTAAAATAACTAGAAACAGGTGTGTGGGCATCACAATTCAAGACCCTCTGCACTTTAATATCCTCACCCCTCCCTCATAGTGCCGGCACCGTGCTTCCCATCTCCAAGGCTCAAACCATGGAAGGAAGGAGCGCTAAACCTATAAGGGTCATACAGCACCTGATGGAATGGAAGGTAATCAAGTTTGATCGGAAGACAGGTTAAATTCCCTCACCAGATTAGATTTTGCCACCGAACTGGCTAGTTTATTGTGCACTCCATATCCATCCTGTGAATGGTAGGTCAAGAGCATATGGATACACAAACGGCCTAGGAACTAGGCCCCAAAAGGGTTAACAGGTGTACATATCGATTTATATCTACAGTTCACTTATCTGTTACAAGCAAATTTAGGAAATTTGCTTAGTATATCTGGTATCTTATTTTCATTAATAAGATATCTTGACATGTTACACAGGTACACTAAAGCCCCCCTTCAAGGCTGGCGATATTGCAGACCTGGAGAGTGTACAAAGAACTTTCACGGCACACATAAATGCGATAAGACACCTAAACTACTGGGAACGGTTAAAGGTCCTTGATCTGTATTCCCTCGAACGCAGGCGAGAGAGAAACATGATAATATACACTTGGAAGGTCCTGGAGGGATTGGTACCAAACCCGCACACGAAAATCGCTCCATATGAAAGCAAAAGACTCGGCGGGAGATGCAACATTCCCCCGGTGAAAAGCAGGGGCGCCACGAGTACACTGAGAGACAACACAATAAGTATCCGGGGCTCAAGACTGTTCAACTGCCTCCTAGCATACATAAGGGGGATTACCAAGAAACCCCTGGCTGTCTTCAAGAAGGCACTGGACAGGCACCTAAAGTCAGTACCTGACCAACCGGGCTGTGGTTCGTACGTCAGCTTGCGTGCGGCCAGCAGTAACAGCCTGGTTGATCAGACCCTGATCCACCATGAGGCCTGGTCTCAGACCGGGCCGCGGGGGCGATGAACCCCGAAACCCTATCCAGGTAAACTCCAGGTTATTATACTTTCTCTGTAATCAAATCAAATCAAATCATGTTTATTCTCTATAAAGATTACAATGTGGGGTATACATATTATAGGATATTGTGTGGTTTACATATTATATAAAAACTAATTACAGAGAGAGCCACTATCACACCTAGCATGACTAGGCATTTCGGGCAGACTAAGATTAAATCAAAACTCTATATTGGTACAGATTAAGGAGCATATTGATATTAAGGCTAAATAACTGCATTGCAGTTCGTAAATTTAGCAATGTGAATGGTTTTGTTTTGGTACAATACATAGTTTCTATTGAAGCTCCTATATTGGAGTATCACAGGCAAACTTATGACTAGTTAAGATTCATTAGATAATAGTTGTATTACGTATTTCTATGTTTACAGTCAATTGGGTGAGTTTATGTGCGAATTTTGGGGAATCACTGATATCGAGGGGAGGTCTAGGTTGTTTTTTATGTGTGATACAAGAGAATAGGCGATTTTCATGTAGTTAGCTGACGGTGGGGTGTGTCAGGGAGATAAGATGTTCTCTAACTGTAGTTTTGAAAGTGATGAATATGTCTGCAGTTCTAGAGTTTTCAGGTAGGGTGTTCCAGATTTTAGGCCCTTTTATGTATATTGAATTTTTGTATAGGTTTAGCCGGACACGGGGAATGTCATAGAGATGTTTGTGTCTGGTGTTATGTCTCTGGGTCCCGTCACAACTATCAAGAAAGTGTTTTAGGTCAAGGTTAATATTGGAATTTAAGGTTCTGTAAATGTAGGTTGCACAGTAGTAAGTGTGGATGTTCTGTACAGTGAATAAGTTTAGATCTATGAAGAGTGGGGGGGGGGGTGTTGCCTGGGACTGGATTGCATGATTATTCTTACTGCGGCTTTTTGTTAGGTTATTATTGGCTTTAAGTGTGATGCTGCAGTTGATCCCCAAGCACAAATAGCATAGGTGAGGTAGGGATAAATGAGTGAATGGTATAGTGTGAGAAGAGCTGATTGTGGCACGTAGTAACGTATCTTGGGGAGGATCCCAACCGTTTTGGATACTTTTTTTTTATTATTGTTGTGTTGGATATGGGTGCTGAAATTCAGGTTACTGTCGAGATGCAGGCCTAGGAATTTGCCCTCATTATGTCTGGCAGTAGGAGTGTTGTCGATCTTAATGTTAAGTTTTGCAGCACCTGCTCTTATAGAAGGTTTTGTCAGTGTTAAGTGTAAGTTTATTGGCTGTCATCCAAGAAGATATTTTGAGTAGCTCCTCGTTAACAATGGTGTTGAGGGTGGACAGTTAAGCACATAGTGTTCAAGACAGTGACCAAATGCCTGGTCACATAATTTGCATTTAGTTTGATCATCATCTGTGTCTCCTCCAAACTGCCAGAAGTACTTGTAAACATGCCTAGGCCTGGCCACAACAACATCAGTCAGTCTGTACACATTGCAAGTTGCTCCATAAACATACTTAACTACGTTCATGTTATCATTGTGTTATAGATCTATTCCGGCTTCTAACTGCATTCTTATAACAATCATTTTCATTATTTACTTCTCTCCTCATATTATTCCTATTGCTAGACAGATATACCAAAGTTATATTATACATTCTCCTGGGTACTCTTCTTGGCTAACATCTCAACTTTATCATGAAGGAGTAATCCAATGTGTGATGGGATCCATAGCAATTGTACATTAATTCCTTTGTCCCGGATGGTTTAGTATCTACCTGGAGTTTACCTGGAGAGAGTTCCGGGGGTCAACCCCCCCACGGGGTTCTCATTATCCATCCTGTCATTTTTCTAAATCGCATCTGCTAGAAAAATGACAGGATGGATAATGAGAACCTTCAAAACTAGGGAGGCCAAGCCCATGATGACACTCTTCAGGTCACTTGTTCTATCTAGGCTGGAATATTGCTGCACTCTAACAGCACCTTTCAAGGCAGGTGAAATTGCCGACCTAGAAAATGTACAGAGAACTTTCACGGCGCGCATAACGGAGATAAAACACCTCAATTACTGGGAGCGCTTGAGGTTTCTAAACCCGTATTCCCTGGAACGCAGGAGGGAGAGATACATGATTATATACACCTGGAAAATCCTAGAGGGACTAGTACCGAACTTGCACACGAAAATCACTCACTACGAAAGCAAAAGACTTGGCAGACGATGCACCATCCCCCCAATGAAAAGCAGGGTGTCACTAGCACGTTAAGAGACCATACAATAAGTGTCAGGGGCCCGAGACTGTTCAACTGCCTCCCAGCACACATAAGGGGGATTACCAACAGACCCCTGGCAGTCTTCAAGCTGGCACTGGACAAGCACCTAAAGTCAGTTCCTGATCAGCCGGGCTGTGGCTCGTACATTGGTTTGCGTGCAGCCAGCAGCAACAGCCTGGTTGATCAGGCGCTGATCCACCAGGAGGCCTGGTCACAGACCGGGCCGCGGGGGCGTTGACCCCCGAAACTCTCTCCAGGTAAACTCCAGGTAAACGGCACGGTCTGTGACCAGGCCTCCTGGTGGATCAGAGCCTGATCAACCAGGCTGTTACTGCTGGCTGCACGCAATCCAACGTACGAGCCACAGCCCGGCTGGTCAGGTACCGACTTTAGGTGCTTGTCCGGTGCCAGCTTGAAGACTGCCAGGGGTCTATTGGTAATCCCCCTTATGTATGCTGGGAGGCAGTAGAACAGTCTCGGGTTTAAGTTCGATGTTTGCTATTTCTCTGACCAGTGACTCCCTACGCATTTCAGATATATTGGCCTCTTTTAGCCGCTCTGTTATTCTTTTTCGTCGCCTGTAAAGGGAGCGCCTGTCTCTTTCTATTTTTACATCTACTCCTCCTTTTTCTTACAGGAATAAGCCTTGAGCATACATCGAGTGCCACCGAGTTAATCTGTTCTAGGCATAAGTTGGGGTCTGTGTTGCTTAGTCTATCTTCCCAGCTTATATCGGTTAGGACTTGGTTTACTTGGTCCCACTTTATGTTCTTGTTATTGAAGTTGAATTTGGTGAATGCTCCCTTGTGACTAGTCTCATTATGTCGGTCTGGGGCTCCGCGCATACATGTCTGAACCTCGATTATGTTGTGATCTAAGTATATTGTTTTTGATATGGTGACATTTCGTATCAGATCATCATTGTTAGTGAAGATGAGGTCTAGTATATTCTCCAGTCTAGTAGGCTCTATTATTTTCTGGTTTAAGTTGAATTCTGTGCAGAGATTTAAAAGCTCGTGTGTGTGTGAGTTCTCGTCAGAGCTGCCTCCTGGTGTTATCACTGAAACAACATTATTTGCTATATTCCTCCATTTTAGGTGCCTTAAGTTGAAATCCCCCAGGAGCAAGATGTTGGGGGCAGGAGCTGGCAGATTTTCCAGACAGTGGCCAATTTTTAACAGCTGTTCCTGGAATTAGCTGGGACATTGCATCCGGAGGTAGGAGACTACCACAATGACTAGGTTTTGGTTCTCGATCATTACTGCTAAAACTTCCACTACATCATTTGAGGCATTAAGCAGTTCTGTGCAAACAAGTGACTCTGCGATATACAGGCTAACCCCCCCTTCCTTCCCTTTTGCCTGTTCACTTTGTCGCATCTGTATAGGTTGTAACCTGGGATCCATATTTCGTTGTCCAAGTGATCCTTTATGTGGGTCTCTGTGAAAGCCGTGAACATTGCATTTGCCTCTGCAAGCAGTCCACGGATGAAAGGTATTTTGTTGTTCGTTGCTGGCTTTAGACCCTGTATATTTGCAAAGAAGAATGTCATCGGACTGGTGGTATTGGTGGTACTGGGGGGAACCTTTTTTTCCGGCATTAGTATCTGTAT